CCTGTTCTTTAGTGAAAGTGATTAAGTTAATTTGCTAATAAGACTAAATATTATGTTGCTTTTTCAGACTTTAGTTGACCTTTTTAGTGACATAGTGGATAATATTTTTGCTTTAAGCTGAAGTGGCTGCATTCCTGCAAGGCTCTACACAAGTGCGTTTTAAGCGGTTGAAATGGCACCCAACATGTCAAATGTCAAACACATAATGGTAGGCCAACGCCCTAACGTTTAAAGAAGATTGAATCTGAGTAAAAAKGCTAACAGCCCCACTCGTGCACACTCCCAAATGACAGGTAAGAGGAAACCTCATCTTAACAAAGCCAACATTCCAGCTGGACTGCTCGCTTTGTTTGGTTTCTGTTGAAGAGGCCCTTGTGAGGGGCTGTCCACCTCAGAGACCCTCTATCTTCGTGAGAGCTCTTTACATTGTTCTCATTACTCAGCACAGTCCTGTCGTTCAGACAGAGTGAAGTCTGATCATGTTGATGCACATTTTTACTGAGGTTAAACTTGGTATTTAAACACAAAACAGAGGAGACAAGGGAGGATTTTAAACAGATTGGGTCATTATCGGGTCAACCATTCTGTTTAAACATTCTTTATTTGCCTGTAGCTTATCTGTACACATGTTGGTGTGCTTTTGATTCATATGTAACACGTGTAAAATAAAAGCGTTTTGTCTGTTTTCTGTCAGTGACCGAAGCAGGTTTTGGAGCAGACATTGGAATGGAGAAATTCTTCAACATCAAATGTCGAGCTTCAGGTTTGAGGCCCAGCGTGGTGGTGCTGGTTGCAACGGTTCGAGCGCTAAAGATGCACGGCGGTGGCCCAAATGTAAGTTCAGGGAAGTGTTGTGACTTGTGCAAATAGTTTTTTTTAGAATCAATTAAATAATCAGTGGTTTAAATTCTCCAACAACCTAAATTGTTTTGTGGTGCAATCATGTAAGTTTCCAGTTACATGCTTGTTGAGCAGATCTAACTCAATACACAAAATTAAGTTAAGTCATCCCGTATAGTTACTGAGGTCGCCTGCAGATTTGTGTCTATTTCAACCAACATCAGCTCTTGTTATACGTATTTCATAAATTTTCTTTTGTGTTTACTTAAAAACTTAAGAGCAACAAGTCGTAAGTTTTTTTTTTTTTTTTTTGCTCATTGGCCACGCCCACTTTAGCCCGGCATGATCATCTTGAAGGAGACAAGTCAAATTGTGCTCTTTAAAGCATGTATTTCATATAGTTATTCAGATTGTTGTTGATGTAAAATAATTTTCTTTTATTTACAAAAATAAGGACAGAGTTATCAACTTTTGCAATAAATTTCATTCGTAAATGTGTTATGATATTTTGAAGTTATTTTCCCTTGCCTCTGCAAGCACGGACTCATAAAAACAAGTTTTGTTTGTCTGTAAAAACTTTTGTGTCATTATGAATGCCTTCCAGCGTTTATGTTTTGAGAWATTTAGCTGTTTCCAACATTCTTATGATTGTCTTTTAGGTGTCAGCTGGTACACCTCTTCCCAAAGAGTACATTCATGAGGTATGTCCACATCACTTCACAATCACTCATATAAAWATAAATATGTTTGCATGGAAACATGAGCAAAGAAGTGAGATTCATCAGAATAAAGAACAAGGAAAAAGACCAAAAAAGCCTAAAAGAATGTTAAAGCGGATGGATTTTGATTGGAAAAAAACTTCCAAGTTGAATATAATTAGCCTGCTATGTTTTCATTTTATGAATCATAAATTGATGACGTAACCATCAAAACAAAGGCTTTTTAAACTCATTATTTTTACCAGTGCAGCTGGATATTAAGATTTTTAATTGCCTTAATAATATCTTTGTGTAGTGTTAGCAACCAGTTACTTTCTGCTGAGTTCTTTGAGAATCATCCCACGTGCGGCTGTACGTCCAGCAGACTTTAAACATGTGAATATTCATCATAAAAAGATTTGTGTGATCCAATAAAGACATTTAAAAGTGTTTTAATCCAATTTGCCTCRGGTCTCCTGCTGTATTATTCTCACAGTCAATCCTCCAACTATATACAAAGATTCGCATGAACATGATTATTTGATTAACAACTCAAACAAAACATGTGGTTTCCTGGTATGTGGGCCACGGCAGAGAGGAGGTGGGGATTTTGTTTGTGTGTGTAATGTGCTTATTCATACCTGGCCAGAATCCCTGGACTCTGAGGCAGATTCAGCTGTGCAAATAATGAAGCGGTTTAAGTTAATTGTTAGGCCTGCAATAAAAAGAAAAACTGAAGTATTGCAGAAAACAGGGCCAGGGAAATTGATTTATAGAACTTGGTGGAATTACAGGGGCCACACAAATGCACACACAAATACAAGATTATATTTATGTAGTCAAAGGTAAATGAGCTAAACAGAATGATGTTATGTGATTTTTAAATATCTGTTTGTCTCTATGTTGTAAACAATGATTAAAAAACACAATAAATGATGACACACAGGTGTATTCTATAACCATTTTATTTATTGGTAACAATAAACTGAGTGAACAATACAAATGTAAACAGATAGATACAAAAATCAAGGACAAGAAAAAAAAAACAAAGTGCAATGTGTATCTATCGTATTTATTCAAGTATAATACGTAAAAGTAAATCCATAACATCATCCATAAAGTTGGGGGGTAGTATACTATACTCGGATAAATATTTTTACTTATGTATTTTAACCAAAATATCTGCTTCATTCACAAAATGCCTGAGTCCGGAAATGAGACCG